TTGCAACGTCAGGTAGCTCTAACCCCTAACATGAAATGGATTAGCAGTGAATGTTAAAGCCACCGATGCAGTTAACAGCTCTCTCACAAATAAAAAGTCTGATATTTCTGTTCAGATGACTTGAAAAACTTCTACTGTATATTTCACAAATTATCCAACAAAAGGTAAAAATGTCAGTTTTAGATTTTTCTCACATTTGTTACTTGGTGCCGAGATTTTTTTTTTTTTTAATAGCATTCAAAAGCAAGACATAAAAAGACAGAGCACCCTTTATGCCAGGTTATCACCTACATTTCAAAACACATTGAATGAGTACAAAAAGCATTAGGGAGGGAACGGGTTTATAACAATACAATCACATGGATACTCAGCTTATGCTTAAACATATTTTGGTGATTTTGTATTTTTCTTTTTTTTTTTAAATTTAGCATGACATTTATTGTGGACACTGCAGAAGAAATGAGTTTTCAGGGGATTAAAAGGAGTGCAAGATAATGACATGGAGAAGCAGAGTAGGAAAGGGATTATGCTGCACCTTACACATGAAAAGAGATGCAGACCTGCTTGAAGAAGAAACAGATAAATGAGGCATCAAGAATGGCAATACTGACAGAATAGTGGGATAGAGGTGATGAAACAATAAAAGACACGGTTGAATGAACAGGAAGCGGTGGAGCTATTTATTTAAGAACTTGGAAGTGAGGAAATGGTTAAATTTGAATTTATATTGTTAGTTGAGCATCAGAAAAAGAGCTCAGTAGATAAAGTTTTGCCAAACAGCACTCACCAAATGCTATTAAACTCAGCACATGACAACATATTAATATTTGCAATGATTGATTTTAAACTAAACTATGGAGGCTTATACCTAAAAAAACCCACCTTGCTAATATTTCACCTAGCAGATGAGCAGTCTGAAGAATTATCGCACTATGGCAGGAGTAGCCAAACTTACTGGCCCTCCGAGCCGCATACGACAATCTTCAGAGATTCGAGAGCTGGAGTACACCTGCCAGGAATTGGGGCTTGGGGCTTCCACCCACTCCTGCTGAAGCCCCGAGCCCTGGCAGGTGCGGCCTGCAGGGCTGAAGCCCCGAGACCCTCCTTCCCTGCTGGACAGAAGTTCCTAAATCACCACCCTACTGTAAGGCAGAGGTCCCGAGCCCGCTGCCCCCTCTCACCCAGTCTGGTAGGTGGAGGGGGGGGGGCGCGCACGGAGGCGGCTTGCGAGCCACACTTTAATGGTAAAAGAGCCACAGTTTGGCCACCTCTTCACTATGGCCTGGTCTACATTTAAAAATGATCTAGCTATGTCACTCAGGGCTATGAAAACATCACACCCTGAGGTCCGTATTTAGGTCGATCTAACCCCCTGTGTAGACGCAGCTAAGTTGAGGGAAAAATTCTTCCATTAAACCTATTGTCTCTTGGAGAGGTGGATTAACTATATTGATAGAACAGTGAAGTGGCGGCCAGCACATCCCTCGGCCTGTGCTGCTTCCCACAGCCCCCATTGGCCGGGAGCAGCGAACTGCGGCCAATGGGAGCCACGATTGCCCGAACCTGCGGACGTGGCAGGTAAACAAACCGGCCCAGCCCGCCAGGGTGCTTACCCCGGGGGGCCGCAGGCCAAAGGTTGCCGATCCCTGTGATAGAAAAACCCCTTTTGCTGATGAAGAGGTGTCTACAGTATGGTGCTGTAGCGGCTCAGATACAGAAGCATTCTAGCAGCTATAGTATAAACATACCCTATATGAACTACTCAAATCTATTGAAAGAGCTTTTAGTTACTGTTAGGGATTCAAGAGACTTAGACAACCGGAATTAGCAGGCTTAACCATAAAACTTCTGAGAGACTGTTTTCATTCTTATTTCAATTATAACAGTCACCTTTAAAAAGCTAGAATTTACCAACATTTATAGCACAGCAAGTTTCCCCCTTCATTTAGAAAAGAACAGAAGTGTTGTAACTGTGCTCATTTTTCAATAGCAACCACTACAGGTCACTGAATCAAAGTTAAAACTTTTGGCTGGAGGTTTTCCTTTTCAAGGGAAAAAAGATCAGTTATTTCTAGTCATCACTAGGATTTCCTCATTTAAGCTAGTTAAACCTTGGAACTAGATAAGAAGTGCTGGGTTTATCATACATTATTCAGCAGATATTTAAAGACTAAGTATGATCTGCATCTTGAAATCAAGGTTATTTTCTATATTTTCTGAATTTAGTAAAAATTCTGCTCTAATTCCCTTTACTTTGACTTCTTTAAGAATTGCTTACAATGCTCAGTATGAATGCATATCACAATACCACAATTTATATTGAGATACATTTTCATTTATACAATTTAACCTAATCAGCACACTAGTATCTTTTGATATTTTATCTGGGTAGATAGCTATAATGGGGAGAAACACAAAGACTTACAAAAGCAGAAGATAAAGTAGATACTGGCTAAAACAAAATTACAAACTTGTGCTACTTGCTTGTGATTCCTCATCACTCTCCGCATCCTTTCTTCCTTTCTTCTTGGTTTTCTTAATCCTGAACTCTCTGGCATTTCCACCACCACTTCCTCTCACACTTCCACTGCCCTCTGGTGGCAAATTATGTGTTTAGTACATAGAGAAGCATTATCCCTTAATGGGATGTTTTTCATAGTTATGGTAACAAATGAGGCTGAACTATCAGTTAAAGATACTAGTGAAATAATCTTATCAACCTATCATGAATGGAACCTACATTACATATTGCAGATTAGTGACAGTTTGATATTTAAATAAAGAACATGAAAACAAAGAAACATACTGATTCACAACTTTTATTAGTTGTCACTTCATTACTAAAATAAACTGAACTTTATAAAAATGTGACTACTCCTTATATCAAATTATATATATCATGTAAACAACATTAGTAAAATAACAGTTCCCGACAGACAACAAAACCAGATACCATTGCTCAAAACACAAGGAAAGTAACCTGATGGCTGAAAATATGATTTTTATTAATGCAGGTCAGCGCTGATGAACAATTGAACTACTGAACAAAATTTTTGCAGTTGTATTTAACATGTCATTAACATGAATACTCTACATTACAGGACAGAATCCTGCACTATAAGCATTTACCCAATTGCTGATAGCATCTCAATTTTCAGTATGTTCCTTTTCCACCGTGTAAGTTCTTCTGCCCTTGTTTCTGCTTCTTTCATTTGTAAAATTTTACACTCTGTAATAACTGCATTCCATACAAGAAATAACTTTGAAGTTTTAGGCCTTTTTTTACATTCTCAAGTGGCTAAACAATGGATTAATTCTACTATTGCTTAAGAAAAACATACAAAGGCAGTATTCAAATGCTTGTACCGTACAATTTGCTGGCTATGTATTTAATATGAATTCCCAAGCCCTGCTGCTCAGTCATTTCCTGGGACCATAATGGCGATAGCTGTGATACTTAAGTTGTAGGTTAGGAACAACTTATATTTGGGTAAGCCCTGGCATCCTGTAACTTCTTAGGAAAAAACACAGGCTTTTTGTAGGTTTATTTGAACTGTGACTGAATTAAATTGAGCAGGAATTGGTTGTTTAATTAACAGTACAATAAGCAGAAATGATAAAAAGCTATTTTAAAAGAAGCTCTTTAATGATTTGCATCCTATCTTTCACACTGTGGGTCAGCACACAAAACAAGTTGCTTATATTGTTGACACGTGCAACCAAGATCTGATCTGTGGAGAGCACAGACAAGACAGCATACGGGCTGTAATTTACAGACAGAGTGAATGGGTTGTAAATCCAATGAAAGCCTGGTTAGAGGAACTATAACACTGCAGGTTTTTCAGGCCACACACACCCCCCTTTTTAAAAATTTTAAAGAATGGACCTATGAAAAAACCACCATTACTGTTATTTTATTGTCTGTTTTCAATTTTGATGCAAAGACACACCGTGGATATATTTTAGACTTTCATACATATAAAACTGTCCACCATTAAGAGTATCTAAACTGGTGATAAGTGGTATCTGTCATTATTTCCAGTGTATGTAACAATGGTATCTGGAACCTGTGGTGATGTGGGTCATCTTGATGCATGCTACATAATGGCCAAAAAGAAAACACCACATCACTAAAGCAGATTTGCCAGGGTGGAAGATATATTACGTATGTATGCATATGACTATATATTCTCTCACACACACACACACACACACACACACACACACCCCCCCCTTATGAAGAGTAAGACACCAGCAAGGCTGGAAGTCATTCTATTTATGACAGTTCTATTAAAGTTCAAACTCCTCTTTAACAACTATGCCCTAGAAAAATCTGCTGTCTCTTGTGGTGAGAATAAGTTTGGTTTCCATGCCAACTCAGTCCTGGTCTCTTCAGAGTAGAAACTAATGTTCTATTTAAAGATATGGTTATACTGTATATCCAATTAAGCTAGATATATCAGTGTTTTGATTCTGTAGCATGTAATAGGACATAACACTGAGGGACTGAAACAAATTTCTGAATCACCCTGTTAACGTCTTTAAGACTAATTGCATTATGTTTAGCCTGATTAAAGTTCTTCAGTGATTACTGAAAACTGTAAAGGTTCAGAAGGATTTTATATATATTTACATTCTGGAACAAACTGAGAACTATTGTAAGAAATGTTATTGCTAAATGGAGCTATGCATACTTGGATCCAGTATGAATTTGGCTCAGAACATATTAAAAAAACCAACCTTGTGAACCTTCAAATAATTATAATCTGACAGCATAATAGAGAGGAGGTTACCAAGTTGTGCTTGGAGAGGACTCTGACTTTAAAACTCACTCCAACTTCATCTGAAAGGATTTGGATTTGATGAGTTTTGGAGTACCCTGCAAAGCCCATCAATTTCCCCTGCCATTTGGAAAGTAGGACGAAAGAGGAGGATAGTGAGTGGGAGTAGGGATTTTTCATTGCTTGCTTTTTGCCTAACTATTGTCAGCTAGGGGGTTAGGTGAAACCGGTGGGAGTACTTTTATAAATAAGTATGGCCAAGGGCACACAGGTCCTCTTTTATATAAATAAAAATAATTCCGAGTACCTTACCTGTTGCTTTCTTTCTTCTTTCATCCTTTCTGTCTTTTTTGTTAGCAGATGAATTTTCTAAAATAGAAGCCTCTTTCAGGTCCTCTTCAGTGACTAAATTAACAGGGTTATTTTTCATTTCCTGGAATGAAGATAATTAATTTAATATCAAAATATAAATGCAGAATGTGACTAATAAAGCACCATTCATGCAGTATAGACATTTTAAAACATATTGTCTTAAACACAGAATGTGTTCTACATACAGCACAGGAAAAAGATACTTATTTTCCTCCTCCAAACCCAACAAACCTGTCCTGCAAGCTTAATGTGACAAAGGTAGTCAATGAATAACAGAATTGTAAAATAAATCCAGTAAAAGAATTACATTAATTTTACAGTAATGTATTCAATCAAGAAATGTGACAGTGTGTGTCTCAAATATTTTAATAAATCCTGAAGTCTAAACAGTGTTTAAGTATGTCACCAGCAATTATTTAAATAGATTGGGTAGAATTACAACACTGAATTTTGTAACCCAATTCTATTACCAACATTATCTTCCAAAACATAATTCTCCAAAGAATCTGGTGTTCACGGGGTCCCAGACACCAGAGGTTTGTGTGCGCATTTTACTGAATTTAAGTTAATAGTGCACATGAGTATCTTAGATAAACAATGCCTCAAATATGAGTTTAGGCTGTTCCTGAGCTTTTTATATCTGCCTAACAGGCGAGGCCGGTTCCTCATCACATCTTCACACCATGTTAAAAAACACATGACATTTCTCGTTAAAAAAATAATGCGTTAATTAAATTTGAGACTGAACTCCTTGAGGGAGAACTGTATGTCTCCTGCTCTGTTTCACCCGCATTCTGCCGTATATTTCATGTTATAGCAGTCTCAGATGACGACCCAACACATGTTTGTTTTAAGAACACTTTCGCTTGAAATTTGACAAAATACAAAGAAGATACCAATGTGAAATTTCTAAAGATAGCTACAGTACTCGACCCAAGATTTAAGAATCTGGTGGCATCTGCACTGCTTTGGATCATTATTGAGCAGAACCTGTCACCAGCATGGACGCATGTCCCCTGGAATGGTGGTTGAAGCATCAAGGGACATATGAATCTTTAGCGCATCTGTCATGTAAATATTTTGCGATGCTGGCTACAACAGTGCCATGCAAATGCCTGTTCTCACTTTCAGGTGACACTGTAAACAAGAAGAGCGCAGCATTATCTTCTGCAAATGTAAACAAACTTGTCTGAGCGATTGGCTGAACAAGAAGTAGGCCTGATTTTTAAAAGCAGTTTTTTTGTACATAATTCTACATTTGTAAGTTCAACTTTCATGATAAAGAGATTGCACTACAATACTTGAATTAGGTGAATTGAAAAAAGAATATTTCTTTTGTTTTTTTACAGTGCACATATTTGTAATCAAAAATAAATATAAAGTGAGAACTGTACACTTTGTATTTTGTGTTGTAATTGAAATCAATATATGTGAAAATGTAGAAAACATCCAAAAATATTTAAATGGTATTCTATTATTTAATTGCACGATTAATCGCACGATTAATTTTTGTAATTGCTCAACAGCCCTACTTAAAATTATCTCTTTAAATTGCATGAGATACTTAGAAATCTCCCAGACAAATCATTCAATAAAGCATCCTTGATCAACACCTTTTGATTTCCCTGATCTTACCTAGATTCCTAGTTCTGCTAGGAATCATAATAATAATCTGATATGTTAAGTGTGCATGGAAGTATATCTCAACTTTGTTGTAGTAAAAACAAGTCAATTACTGACCCTGAAACATTTTGAAAATATAAACATAGTTTTCAGGTTCTTCTTGTATTTCCTCAACTTATTAATAAGGACACACTTGAATTTCTAAACATAGGAAGTGGTCATTTTTCTTTATTTATAAATCACAAATTTCAACAATAACTAAAATAAGGCCTGATCCCACACATACCAGTTTTATGCCAGCGATTTCAATGAAGTTCTCATTTACTTTGGATGTAGGTGATATCAGAATAAGACTGAGGCTGTAAAACATGCTGAGATGTACAGTGCAGCTGTGCAACTTTGATGTCCATGGATTGATCTGATAGAATCTTTAAATCAGGTCGAGTAACAGATATTTCCACTCACCCTTACGAAACGTTCAATAATGAATGATAAATATAAAATTATCTAGTGCTTTACGAACATTATGTGGTCAAGATCAAAAAACTGACTATGTAAAAATGGCACCTTCAGTTGCTGAGATTTCCTCCAGCATGTATTCTTAATCATATCCCCTTAATTTACCACTTAGGACTTCAGGGAGAGCTGCACAAATGCATCCAACAACAGAACGTGGTCCTAAATAAATTTTCCTTGCGTCATTACTTCAGATCTCAAAATTAGCCAGATGCTTTACTGACAACATCAACAGAACTTAATTAAATTCTTTATACTGGTGATGATATGTTAGATAGAAAAAACACACTCAGATCTGAAGCTTGAGAGATAGCATTGGAGAAAACATTTTTACTTTAAACAAGATTTGCTTTGAAAGACAATGACACACACATGGAATCAGATGACGCCATTTTTACATGAGTAAGTTTTCAGACCTAAATCACAAGAAATATAAAGGATAAAAAATTGCAGACTATTAAATTCAAATATGGTTAAAAACAGAAACACATATACACACATCCAGATATACATGACAACATACCTTTTCGGCTTTGTGGTGCATCAACTCCCTGAACAGATCAGTACAACTGTTTATAAATTTCTCACTGACTACAATAGTATCACTGAAGATTATAGTTGACAAATGTTTGTTGAAAGATCTCATCACTTGCTGAAGCAAAATTCCAGAATCTTCTATGGATAATGAACTGGGCAGAAGAGTCTAAGATTAAAAAACAAAATAATTTATATATACTGCACATTATAAAGAAAAGGCCACTTTTACATGTATTAAGAGGACCTACAATATATGGTAACTGTTTAAAATATACTGTGCTACATCTGAGCTAGATGTGTCCTTATATTTTAAATGGATCTTTAATCATGAAAGATCCCAAAATGGTTTAGGAACACTAATTAATTCCATCCAGCAATGATATACAGCTGCCTCTGTAATGGAAGACGGCAACTTAAAAGTGCATCCCAATAGATGAGGACAGAAAATAAGGCAGCATATTACTGTTAAAATTAGACCTTGTGTTCTAGCTAAATTCTAACATCCCCCTATTTTGGTGAAAAGTATAACAGACAGTCTGTTTTAAAATTCTCATCTCACAAACGGCACTTCCAGAAGTAAAGTGTTCCCTAACACAATACTGGAGCAATGATTCTGTACTGATTCAGAAGAATGAGTTTGCCTTAGAATCCGAAGAAGTGGGCTGTAGTCCACGAAAGCTTATGCTCTAATAAATTTGTTAGTCTCTAAGGTGCCACAAGTACTCCTGTTCTTCTTTTTGCCTTAGAAGTCAATCAACAAAGCCTGACTGAGCTTCAGGCAAGTTTAAGGTGGTGAAGCAGCAGTCGTTTGTTTCACGGGTTATTAGAGCTAAGTAAATTGAAAATTCTGCTTTAAAGTAACATTATTGGATGACATCTAACAAAAAGGGGAAGAAATACATCCTACTGAAAAAAAGAGCATACCGCTATATCCACCCATGTTCCAGAGCTGATGGCTTCATCTACTGAAGCCTCCACCTGATCCACAATTTCCTGACCAACACAGGCTGCTTTCAGAAATAAGAGCTTTGTGGACTTGTATCTTTTCTTTATGTAGTTCACTGGGTCTGGGATGCCAAGTCTGGACAATGCATCAAATTCTGTAAAATTGTAAAAAGTTTGTTAAGTTTTAGCCATTCATTGGGCCTTCAAGAAATCAACATTTCCAAGAACAAATACACACACAGGGAAGATACTAAAACACTTGGAGACAACGGTGCCTCATGAAAAAAAACATTGTATTTAGAAACCATCCCAATGATTGCATGCCCATGAACCCAGTAATACAATTTCAAACCTTACTTTTTACATGCAAGGAGAGGATCTGAGAAATTTAACCTAAACATAAGTAGCACATAGGCTAAGTCTACTCTGCCAGGGTGAAAAATACCCATGCTGCCACAACTCATTCAATTTAAAGGAATAAAAGCTGGTCAGTTTTCATTCTGCAGCTTCTTTTTCAAGCTGCAGCAGAGGCATTGGGGTGATCCTTCTGCAGACCTAGATGCATTGGTTAACACTTGATCCACATTTGGAAGGTCATATGGAGGTTTTTTTAATGTAAGCTTAGATTCTAAAAAAGTTATGGCATGCGCATAGGAAAGCTTCCTGTTTATTCACCATAGGCCAGAGTGGGGAAACTACGGCCTGCGGGCTGGATCCAGCCTATCAGGGCTTTGGATCCAGCCCGCGAGACTGTCACCCCCATGGCGCCGCGGGGCTAAGGCATGCTCCCTGCCTGCCCTGGCTTCACGCCGCTCACTGAAGCGGCCGACACCATGTCCCTGCGGCTCCTGGAGAGGGGTGGGTAGCCGGAAGAGGGTTCCGTGCTCTGCCCTTGCCTGCGGGTACCTCCCCTGAAGCTCCCATTGTCCGCCGTTCCCTGTTCTCGGACAATGGGAACTGCGGGGGGCGGTGCCTGCAGGCAAGGGCAGCACACAGATCCCTCTGCTCCCTCCTCCCCACCTCCCCCCAGGGGCCGCAGGGACGTGGTGCCGGCTGCTTCCAGGTGCGGCGTGGGGCCAGGGCAGGCAGGGAGCTTGTCTTAGCCCCGCTGTGCGCCGCTGCCACCCCAGAGCTACTCAAGGTAAGTGGTGCCAGGCCGGAGCCCACACCCCGAACCCCTCCTGCACCCCAACCCCCTGCCCTGAGCCCCCTCCTGTACTCTGCACCTGTCCCTGCATCCCAATCCCCTGCCCTGAGCCCCCTTGTACACCCAGCACTCACTCCTGCAACCCAACCACCTGCCCCAACCCTACATTCATGGCCCTGCATGCAATTTCCCCACCCAGATGTGGCCCTTGGGCCAAAAAGTTTGCCCACCCCTGCATAGGCAATGCACTGAATGGATTTTTCGAACGCTGACACTTGCATGAAAAGAGAGTGTTTCTTTTTTTAAAAGTTCATTCACATTTTCAGTTTATCCCTGACCAGAATTCATAATCCTCTGTGAAATTATATGCATCTCCAGACCAATCCATTGTGATGTCATAGAGGATTAGGACTTCAGATAAGAAATAGGAACTAGGAAGATATTCAGATTCCAAGGACAGAAGGGACCATTGTGATAATCTAGTCTGACCTCCTGCACAACACCGTCCATAGAATTTTCCCAAAATAATTCCTAGAGCACATCTTTTAGAACTCCAAAGTCCTGCCCGCCCAAGTTTGGCACCCACCTGTACAATGAACGGGGAGAGCTAGGCACCTATGAAAGGCATCCTCAGAAGACAGGAAACTGAGCAGGAAGCCACCTAAGCTAGCCAGTAGTGAAATTCAGAATGCATCCACCTCATTACAGCCAATAGACCAAAAGTTAGGGCACTCCCTTGGGAGCTGGGAAACATGAATTCAAGTCTCTGCTCCAAATCAGGCAGAGATTCAAACTTGGGTCCCCCACATCCCAGGTGAGTGCTCTAACCATGGGAATACTGAGCATGTCTTTTGTGCAGCATCAGAACAAGTAGCCATGCTGAGAGTGCCTACTAGAGAGGGCTCTGCAGATGAGGTGGTGAAAGTGAAGGGGGTTGGTAAGCTGGGGCTCTGAGCAGCTCATTAGCTATAGAGCAACATCAGTGCTTAGGTGCTTTGCACATGCTGATGTAGACTTAGGCACCAAGTTAGGCCTCAGCTGAGTAGTCGTGCCTAAATGTTGGACATAGGCACCTGAAGAAGCAGCTAGGCACCTAATTACCTTTGTTGGTCTAGCTCCAAGTCCCCACCATCAGTCAGGCTTATGACATCTGCTCTTAAAGGGCCCAGTACACTATGCTACACATATGTTTTCAGCATGATACATATAAAGTAACAGAATAAGTGTTAAGCTACCCTCCTGATAAATAAAGATACCCTGTAAATGTATCCGTTGGCATTTAAAACATTCAAACTGTTCGCTCATCATTAAAGTAATATGCAGGACTTTAGCCCAACTGTGCTTTCTATGTGGGCAAGTACAAACACAGAACAGCTTGCAAATTTAGGCACTGCAATTATGCAGTTATATACTGTATGCATGTATTTTGGAAGGCAGTAACAAGCCTTTACCAAAGAAATATCAACTACAGTAGTAGCACTTCAATTATTCTTATAAGCCTCAGTCACACATACTGGATTCACTTGGCTCTTTTAGTTACCTAGATCAATTTCCAAAAAGACCTTTTATTCATAAAGAATAAAGATCAGTTACCTAGGTAACCATTTTGCTTGAAAAAGGAATCCACCCAGTTGCTCTGTGTTCTGGCATAGATGTCTGGAACAAACACAGCCTTATCTTGTCTCCCACCAACCACCGTGCCTTTTAGTCGTCCAGTATTAACAAGTTCTTCTAACACAGCTGAAAGAATAAAATAAATAAAGTAACAGTTTCAGTAAGATACATACATCATCAAAAATTTGGGAATTATTTTTCCTCCTTTTTTCATTCTTTCTTCTTGTATTTCTCCTCCTCTTTTTACTACCAGTTGCTAACTGAAAGAAACTAATCACAAAACTACCAGTAGTTGTTTTAGTGAAGCAATTCTGAGCTCCCACAATTTTTAAATCTGATAATTTCCTGCCAAATGTACAGTTCCAACAGAGAAAGCCGCTATGACAGTATCAGACTACTTTTTTATTAAAAACATACTTAGAAAGTTGGTCATAATGCTGCTCTTCTCTAGCCAGCAAACAAAATTCATGATGATTTTATTAACGTTCACATTGGGACGGGTGTTAACTTTTCAGAACCAATACTGAAAATGTTGTGATCTTAACATTTTAAAATCATGGCAAGAATGGATACCTATAACAAGTCAGATACGGAATCCTGTACCCCTGTTGGTGACTATAGCTGATCCTCAAAAGTTCCAATTAAACCCTGGACCCCAAGAATCAGTAACCCACTGATACGAATATAAACTGAACTGCTGGCAAAGGACACATTAGCAACCACTAGTACTAAATTATTAAGGCCAGCTTAACACAAAACATTATTTTCAATTTATTCAAGTTGCATGGAAGGTTCAGGTCCCATAATCCTTCTGTGTTCTGTCACTGCTCCCTTTACAAGCCATTGCTTATATAAAACTCTATAAATGAAGGAGGCACCAAGCTCTGCTACTTTTTATGGTTCTACTGCAGGGGTTCTCAAAGTTAATTGCACCGCAACCTCCTTCCAACAAAAATTACTACACGACCCCAGGGGAAGATGGGCCGGGGTGGGGGGTCAAAGCCGAAGCTCAAGAGCTTCAGCCCCAGGCGGGGGACCTGTAACCTGAGCCCTGCCACCTAGGGCTGAAGCCCTCGGGATTTGGCTTCGGCCCCAGGCAGTGGAATTTGGGCTTTGGCTTCGGCCCCCAGCAAGTCTAAAACCAGCTCTGGCGACCCCATTAAAACGAGATTGTGACCCACTTTGGGGTCCCGACCCACAGTGTGAGAACCACTGTTCTACTGGAATTTTTTATCCTAGGTTTTGTTTTATAGGATGTGTTGAATTCTTCTTCTTTAAAGAAAGAGCAGAGTAGCCATGGGTTTATACCTGGAGTAAAACATAAAATGGGAATATATATACAGCTCCTACTTCATTAACTGTTTAACAAGAATGGGAACAGAAAGCAAGGGGAACACAACTGGAAAGAAACAAAGACCCTTCCCTATGGCAAAAACCCACTGAATCTGTCATGACTAGGGAATTTGTGACAGGAGCTCTACAACACAGAAATAGACAGGAGAGCAAACAGGTGATAAATTGCTTTTCCCCTTCCCTCAGAAAAAGGATAAACAAGTGATGTGTATCATCCCCAGGACTAAAACAGAAAAAAGGGTTGGGGGGCGCACTATAGAAACTGCCATCTGAGAAAGTCATCATCATGCAAATACTCCTGGTATGCCTGGAACCCATCTCAACAGTATAAGCTAGGTGCGTGTGGCCATGCTAACTGAATCTGTCAGGATGGGACAATAAAATATTCTATGGCAGTGATAAACACTGCCAAAGTGGGAACTACAGCAACTTGAGATTTAGGGCTTGTGTACCTGGCAAAATTGACTGGAATAGCTATTGCAGAATAAACTAGTCTGCAATAGCTATGTGGGAATAACTCTCTATGTAGACACCCTTATTCTGGAATACGAGTGTCCACATGGGATATTATTCTGAAGTAGCTACTGACTGGCCAAAACGATCTTTGTTTTTTTCTTACTAAAATTTTCCACTATTGCTACCAGTTGCTTAGCTTTATTCGTCGCAGTCTAGCTGGTTGTGTATATTGTCTTGTCTACATGGGGAAGTTACTCCGGAATATGGTAGGGTATGAATTTAAAGTGCTATGCTGTTTAACAAACTGTTTTCCATACTGGTGCAGGAACAAACACTGCAGAAAACCATTTTCAGCAACAGTTCAATTACCTAGCCTAGACAGGGCTTAACAGGTAGCTTCGGAAGATTAAAAAAAAGTAAGTACTTCTAACCACATGGAAAAACAGAGGTTTACACTAACCACTTTTGAAAGCAAACGCTACATACTCATACTACCCAACATACAGAAACAATACAGCATATTGAATGTGCACTGCACTGATTTTATTACTCATTTTACATTTTCAATCTTACTTCCATTCAAAGTTCATGGAAAAAAGCTTTATTTACAAGATTTTGACACAAAAATTAAAATATAGCCAAACCAGAAGTATTATTAATGGTAGAGCACTAACAGTGTGTGCCAAGTGCTTTACAGACAGGCGTGGAAGTGAAGCTCTCAAAATAGATGTAAAAATTACTGGTTAAAAATGATATTTCTTAAATGATAAGATTCCTACAGGACAAGGACTGCCCTTTTCTAAGAGATTTTACAGCACAAAGGAGCCTTCATCCTGTTTGGATCTTTTAGATCAGAGATGGGCAAACTCATACCCGTGGGCCACATCCGGCATGCGGGACCGTTCTGCCCGGCTCCTGAGCTCCTGGCCCGGGAGGCTAGCCCCTGCCCCTCCCCTGCTTTTGCCCCTCTCCCAGAGCCTCAGCTCGCTCGCTCCGCTGCTGGCACAATGCTCTGGGCAGTGGGGCTGTGAGCTCCTGGGGCAGCGTAGCTGCACAGTCAGGCCTGACCTGGTGCTCTGAGCTGCGTGGTGGTGACGGCAGCATTGCCCGGCTGTAACGCTACCAGCCACCGGTGCTCCAGGTAGCACGGTAAGGGGGCAGGGGAGCGGGGGGGGGAGT